AAAATGTTACTATCAAATAAGTTTATTCTAATTTTGTAAATTTTCAAAAAAACATATTATCTCAATAAATTCATCTAAATAGTGACTTACTTTCATCAAAACTTTTTTTTTTTAAAAGCACAAGGCTCACTCACCAGTGTGTATTACATTTGTATTTTGAAATTTTAAATTGATTATTATCATAATTATATCATCTCTCTGATATAATTTAATTTTATCTGCCACAATCATTATTTGGGAAGTCAACCATTTTTTAAAAATATTTTTTTTAAAATTTTCAATGATGTGAATTTACTTCAAGAGCCTGAGGGACTATATTCAGAATTTCTAGTAAAGACATCCGATAAAAAAAATATAATGTTTATGATTTGACATTGTAAACTCCAGAATGAATTCTGAATCAGTAACAAGTATAACGTGTTATGTAATTATATGCTGGGAGGACATTAACTCACAAACTATGATGTAAATGGCATAACAAATTACGATGTAAATGCTATATATACATACATATATAAAGTTATGTTGTATACTGAGAGGGCGTATTGTATTTTTAAAAAAATAATTAATCACAGCAAACAGTCACATATATACTCTACCCTCTCTCTATTATATTTTGTATTCTGTATTTCACTATATGATACTAGTAAAGTCATATAATTTATTTAACTGAATGTACGTTGACGTGGTACTAACAAACAACGAGTGCTTATCTGATTCCTTTTAATAAAATCCTAGCCAACTAAAGGAATAAATACAAAAAAAAATGATACTTTGCATCAATTATGTCATTCGAATGGTTATATCAGTATACTATCTTGTATAAATTTATATTTCGTATTTTGATTAATACGAGCAATATAAGAAAGAATGAATACAAGTAATACCACTGTAATAACATGTATGATAGAATCTAACTAGCATTTTTATATATCGTGAAATTAAGTATATTTCTATTATAGGTAAGTTAAATTAAATAAATTATAATTAATAATTTATCATACTGACGGTAAGAGAGCTGACTATTTGCTATCTATGTCATGTCTTGACAGGTGAATATGAGAGAGAGGCTGTAAGTGCATTCTCTCCTTGGCAAAAGCAAAATCAAATTTTAAATTATTAAATTATATTAAATTATTTGATGTGAATATAATATCTTAAAAATTGAAAATCAAAATTGTCAAACTATTTTTTTAATCATATGTGATGCGATATCAGTATACACCACACATGGAAAAAGACAGAGAGAAGTTCATTTACATTATAATATGACTAACATTTGAAAAATGGGTCAACTTTAGTTTACGGCTCCTACCAAGGGTGTGTTTGGTAAGAAGGAAAATGTTTTCGATGGAAAATGTTTTCTTAGAAAATGTTTTTCTGAAAAATAACAAGATTTTAGATTTATTTTCTCATGTTTGGTTGGTGAATAGAAAATATTTTTTGGAAATGATTTTTAGTGTTTGATTTATGAATGAAAAATATTTTTGAGAGATATCTTTTATTTTTACAAGTGTAGAAAATAATTTATGAAATTGAAAATATTTTTTAAAAATAATTTTAATTTGGGGGTGGTGAGGGTGGGGTGGGGGAGGGGGTAGGGAGTGGGGGTAAAAAAATAAATATTTGAACTTTATAGTATTTTTAAAAAGTAAAATTAATTTTTTTGGGGGTGGGGGTGGGGCCTGGCCGGGGGAGGGGGGAAGGGGTTGAGAGTTTAAAAATAAAAATTTAAAATTATTTTTTTTTAAATTGTTGTTTTTCCCCCCAAAAAAATGTAATTTAAAATTTGGAGGAGAGTTTTGAAAAATGTTTTCCTTATTTTTTGGAGGGAAGTCATTTTTCTTAATTTTGAGGAAAATGAGTTGATTTGAAAAACATTTTCCAAAACTTTTGTTCCAACCAAACATGAGAAAATTGGAAACATTTTCCAGAAAATGTTTTCCTTCATATCAAACACACTCCAAATCTTTTAGGAAAAAAAAAAGAAGTTTCATTAGATGCTTCGACTCTTTTATATAACACGCATGTTTGAGTTGAACTCCACCAACCAAATAAGAATTACAAAAAAAAACAACAAATTCTTCACTATAAATAATGATGAGATATGTGAAGAAGTAGTTAGTTAAAAGTCATTAAACTGATGAAGGATAGATTAGTCATTGTACAATGTTAGTTGTAACAAACTACGCTGAGTTAGCTAGAAGAAGTTAGTTACAGAATGTGGTCTATAAATACAACCTCCATTACTTGTATTCACTAGCCTTTTGAGCTCAATCAATGAGAAGCTCTCTCTAAAGAAGCAGTTACTGTTTTAGTGTTCATTCTAAGTGTTTTATTTCAGTTTAGTTCATGGTATCAGAGCTATACACAGTATAACTTTGAGAGGCAATCGATTTGAAATCATCAGATCAATTGTGCATCATCATCGAACTAACAGTTCTTCAGCTGAACTAAGTTGGTGATCAAAAATCAATTGAAGATTGAATCTCTTCCGCTACAAGTATTTTTCAAAGTTTCAATTAGAAGATCCAATTCAAGGTTTTAACAATGGCAACAATGGAGAACATGTAGGTGCATCAACTGCTCTGCCTAGTTTTATGACTAGCCTAGGTATTGATTATAATCATCCTTTGTTTCTTAGTCTATCGGATGTAAGTGGATATAATCTCCTTTTATTTCAATTACTTGGAACTGAAAATTACACTCTATGGAGTATAACAATCACTGTTAGGACAAAATAAACTAGGTGTGATTAATGAATCCTGTAATAAAGAAGTTTTTTGGTGAAGAACTGTGGGGACATGGAAAAGAACAAATGTTATTGTCTTAAAATGGCTAATGAATTTAGTATCCAAAGGTTTGCTTAGTGGAATTGCATTAGCATCCACTGCTATGTAGGTTTGGAATGATCTGAAAGAGAGGTTCGATAGAGTAGATAGTTCTAGAACCTACAGTCTTCATAAAGATATTGTTTCCTTGCAGCAGGTAACTCACATTCTGGGATGAGGTTGAGATCGTAGTACCCACACCTTGCTGTAATTGTGCAAAATCGAAGGAGTTTGTCATTCATCTAAATAGACAGAAATTGTATCAGTTCTTAATGGAGTTAAATGAATCCTATCATCAAGCTAGAAGTCAAATTTTGATGATGAATCCCCTACCTGTTGTTAACCATGCTTATGCTATGATAATTGGAGATGAAAGTCAAAGAGTTGTAGTATCACACATTTGTAACATGGAATTGAATTCTGTTAGTCTAGATTCTATAGGTATGTACTCAAAGGTAGGTACCGCACCAGGAGTAAGTCAGAGATCTAAGAAAATCCTTTTATGATATGTGAGGTCTGCAAATTTAAACGTCACAGTTTGGAGACTTGTTATAGAGTAATTGGTTATCCAGCTGATTTCAAGTCCAAGAGAAAGGTGCAAGGTTCTTCTTCAAAAGTCAACAATACTTGGCAATATCAATCAAGTCAGGCTCATTTTTCATATGGTTTGAACACCAATGTCCGTGCACCAGAGTGGAATAGGAAACCTGATAGCTTGCAGACTAATCATGGTGGCGCTTTTCCTTAAGAGACGGGATAAGAAAGAGAGAGAGCTCGTGGCTGTATATTTTTTATCAAATTGATTCCTAACAGGAACAAGATTGGCAAATGTCACTGTGCGTAACACATTTAATTGGAAGTGGAATGAAGATAATGCACTTTACTCTTTCATTTGTAGCTCGATTAGTCCTTTGGTTGGGCTAACTTGAATCAGTTTAGTTTTTCACGTTAGCTCCTTAACTTCAAATGGTATTTATCCAACGTCGTGAAAGTGTCACCTTTCAAGAGTAGAAGGAAGCGGAATAAGCGCTCTTATATAAGTTCATTTCTGATTCACTTCTTCTCATTCGTTCCGAGTCGCCAAGGGGCAGAAGCCTTTCTTCTGATTTCTTTGCAAGCATTACGGAAGATTCGTTAGCTCTTTCTCTTGGTGATCGTTTCATTGGCAACGACAGATAGGCGCAATCAAAACATTGCTAGTATGAGACCATCCTCCGCCCGCCGGAGAGATCAGTTTGACTAGGGCTCAAATCAGACTTCACCGAGTAATGAGAAACTTAGGACCTAGGTACGTAAACTTGCTAGTCGAAAAGAGATCTTCGCGTTCAAATCATTCTAATACACTAAGTCAAGCTGAGATGAATGCCAAACAATTTTTGAAGGGTTGCACATTCACAAAGGAGTAGTATGATTACATTCTTAGAGGACTTCAACAGCAGTCAGAACCTAACACTAGCACCGCTGATTACAATCATAGCAATTCTGCTCACACTGCAGGTAAAACTTTATTTGTCTCTGAGAATAACAAAGTATGGATTGTTAATACTGGAGCAAGTCACTCATGTTGGATCTTGTGTTTTGTCTGATAAAAACATCATTTCTAATGTATTCTACCTGCCTGAATTTAAGTATAAATTTATGTCTGTGAGTAAACTGAGCAAGGAGCTGGACACCTTCTTCCATAACTTCTATATTTTTCAGGATCTTTCCAGTGGGAAGGTGAAGGAAGTTGGTAAAGAAGCTGGTTCTTTATATACTCAAAGTCATGACAGAGGTGAAAAGGAGATTGTCTTGACATTAAATCAAGGTCCCACAAATATGGATTTGTGGCATAAATGACTAGGGCATGTGTCTTCTATAGTACTCTCAAAAATCTTTAATATGAATAATCAAAGCATTTGTAAACTGTCCAAATGTTTAGTTTGTCCTTGTGCAAAACAGACTAGACTCACATTTTCTTCTAGTAGCATCAAAAGTTGTAATTGTTTTGACTTGATTCATGTTAATCTATGGGGTCTCAATAATACTCCTACGTTTAATGGACACTAATATTTTCTTACAATAGTTGATGATTTTTCTAGAATGACTTGGTTTTTCTTACTCAAACACAAATATGATGTATGAGTATGCTTGAAGATATTTCTGCAGTATGTCATCACTCAGTTTGGAAGACAGGTTAAAGTAATCAGAAGTGATAATGGCACTGAGTTTGTGAATTCAGTATGTACTACTATGTTCAAGGATTTGGGAATTATTCATCAAAGGTCCTGTCTTTATACACCTTAGCAAAATGGAGTGACTGAAAGGAAACATGGACATTTATTGGCATTTCAGCAGCCAAGCCTACAGGAACTCCTGTTGATGTTTATGTTAAACTAACATCAAGACAATTTGATGATCACATGAAAGTCAAAGAAGCCATTGAAGATCCTCTAGTAGATCATAAAGCATATCAAAAGTTAATTGGAAAACTCTTGTATCTTAACATGACAAGACCAGACATAACTTTCAGTACTCAAAGCTTAAGTCAGTTTCTTCAGCAACCAAAGAAGTCTCATATAAATGCTGCATTAAGAGTAGTTAGATACTTGAAAAAAGAACCTGGACAAGGATTGTTATTTTCTAGTTCATCTAATGAAGAAATTGATGCATTCTGTGATGCAGACTGGGGTTCCTGTGCTATTACCAAGAGATCTGTATCAGGATATATAGATAAATGAGAAAATCCTTGGTGTCATGGAAAGCAAAGAAGCAGACCACAGTTTCCAAGAGCTCAGCTGATGTTGAGTACAGAACTCTTGCTTCAACAGTCTCAGAATTAATATGGTTGGTAGGAATGCTTAAAGAAGTAGAGGCTAAAGTTCAAGTACCGAAAACAGGTATTCAGTGAAAGTAAGGGAGCAATACAAATTGCTACAAATCCATTTTATCACGAGAGGACAAAACATATTAAAATCGACTGTCATTTCATAAGGGAAAGGATACAACAAGGGCTGATTAAAGTGAACTACATTTATACACAAGAACAACCTGTTGATATATTGACTAAAGGGTTGTCCAGACATCAATATGAATATCTCTTATCCAAGTTAGGTGTGTTAAATATTTTTATCCCACCTAACGTGAAGGGGAGTGATGAGATATGTGAAGAAGTAGTTAAGTAGTCAGTTAAAAGTCATTAAACTGATGAAGGGTAGATTAGTCATTGTACAATGTTAGTTGTAACAAACTATGCTGAGTTAGCTAGAAGAAGTTAGTTACAGAATGTGGTCTATAAATACCACCTCCATTACTTGTATTCACTAGCCTTTTGAGCTCAATCAATGAGAAGATCTCTCAAAGAAGTAGTTACTATTTTAGTGTTCATTCTAAGTGTTTAATTTCAGTTTAGTTCAAATAACCATTGAAATATCATCTTTCGATACAATATACTGTTACTAATTTAAAACTTCATCATACTCCTTTCAACAATATCTCTTTTGCCTTAAAACAACTATGGCTCCTGCTCCTCAACTACCAACTCCATCTGAAGCAATAACCATCAACACATCATTATATTGGAAAACAACAATGTTACTATCACTGGAAATATATACATACGAGTTCGTCTTGCTACTAAATCTGATCTATCTCATATATACCAATTGTTTTATCAAATTCATGTGTACCATAACTATACTCATTTATACAAAGCTACTCAGTCCTCCTTAGAGGGCTTGCTTTTTAAAGAAAATCCTCTTCCACTTTTCTATGGTCCATCCGTACTTCTACTTGAAGTCTCTCCAACCACTTTTAACGAACCCAAACGAAGGGTTCAAGCCTGTTCTTACAACATTTGACCTTAAATTCCCTGTGGTGGAAGGACAAGTTAAGGAATTCCGATCCAATCCTCCTCCCTTTGAGCTAGCTTTTGATGTGTGAGTTACGCCTAAAACCTAATTTTACAATCAAAAAATGAATAAGAGCACAAAATTAAAGGGGAGAGTTTTTTGTGTGGAGCAATATACCGTACACAAAATGACTAGGGTACTATACACAAATGAAAGATGGAAGTGTTTCTTTTTCACTGATATTTTGGGAATCTGACCTCTTCCATTTTTCGTATAATGGATATATATATGGCGGAGAAGATTTATTTGTAATTATTATGAGTTAACTCTCTTAGCCGAAAATGTTACTCTCAACCAGTGTCCAATAAAAATGAAACAAACTGGGGGACAAATAATGCAAATAGTGAAACTAATTAACCCACTAAACTAAATTAAATATTGTAGTAATTTATAGGTTAGGGGCTTATACATATTCTTAATTTGAAAAGTTATCTTTGTTAAAATAAAAGAAGGAACGATGAATATTGAGTAAAGAGAAGCTACTAATAAAGTTTGCATTAGATTTGGTAATGAAGGAGAGTCCCCTACCCAATTAATTTCTTTTACGAGTCAAAGGAGAGACTCAATCTTCTTATATTGTCTAGTTTTTGTTCTTTTAAATCAAATTAAAAGGTTAGGCACGACCCCTACCTTATATAATATAACCTTTTATTTAAGAGAAAATGTATGAAATAATAAATTATTAATTCAAATTAAATTTTATAGTCATAGTTATTTTTATTTGTAGTTCATAGCAAATATTTCATGTTTTTGTCGTCTCATTTGTATGCCGAAGTATACAAATAAACTCATTTGCTATACATATGTGTTGTATAGAAATTAACTGCAGGACCATTTGTACATCAAAAATACAAATAGACTCATTCGGTATACATATGTATTGTATGATAATTAATTGCAGGACCTATTTGTATAATGTAATATATAGATAGACCCATTGGATATACATATGTAATATGTATTGTATAAAAATTAATTGCGGGACCTATTTATATAACGAAATATATAGATAGACGCATTCGGTATACATGTATATCATATATATGTAGTAATTTTATTTATATACAACTATTATGTTTTAGTTTGTACACCGAAATGTATAAATATAGATTTTTATGTATATTTTTTATCGAATATACAGGTTAATAGTCACAAAAAATATAAAATTTGCTATGTAACATAATTATATAAATTATAACTATAACATACAAATATACAAATATAATTTTTATATTTGGTAAACCTAAAATTTACTCTTAAATATACCAGGACATAAGAAAATCCATATCAAGAGGAATAATATATACTATAAGATATTCCAATGATATATTCATTAAAGTTTTCAATTTTGGCCAGGATGAAATCAAATGCAAGACAATAAGTGCATCACGTCTTAAATTAATAAGATATTAGACATATATTTCCTCTCGTGGGATGCATCACTATCTCTTAAACAGAAAACAAAAAATCTCGAGTGTGTTTTCTAAAATCCTAAGGAAGTATATTATATACTTGATAATCATGTTCAAACTTTACTTGTTTTATAATATTTTGATTTAAAAAATGTTAAAAATACATGAAACCACATTGATACATAAGAAAATTGATTTGATAAGATAATTTCATAAAATTTAATTTTTATCATACATAATAGAATAATTGTTATAAAATAGAGACTAAGTATTAAAATTAAACTAATAGCTATTAAGGAAATAAGAATACAGTAGAGAGATAAAATAGGAAGCTTGAATCTTTCTTATTTTTGATGTATTTTCTATAGAGATTACAATGCCTTTTATAGGCATAAGAGGGGTATAATGGACATTCATTAATTTTGTTTATAACAATAATCAAAATATTAATGCGATATGATTTTTTAAAAAAGAAACACCTGATTGAGTCGGATCATGCACTCCCAGTAGGATTGTCGTGAAGGAGACTTACATAAATATACAATAAATAAAAAATATTTATCATTTATAGTAAATAATATATTTTTTCACTTAATTATTTTTAATATATTTATAATACACTTTTAATTCATAATAGAAAGAACAATTTATCATTCCCATATAATACAAGTTTTATTGATGAATAATATATTTGTTACACATTTATACATTTATATATATATATATATATATATATATATATATATATATATATATATATAAAAATTCACTTTTAATACATATTACATATTTAACATAATATTGCTATAAATGATAATAATAAAAAATATCGCTAAAATCCATAATTATTTATTAAAAAGCACCATCCAAATAAGTTTTCCTTCCATGAATCTGCATGATTGACTTAGTTTTCATTTACTGAAACACTTATTGTTAGTGAAAAAAAACTTACAAGATAATAAAATTGCAAGATTACAATTGAAAATAAAATGAAGAAAGTAATCTCTTCAGGCTGAGGCGTGGATATCTCG